GAGAGAGAGAGAGAGAGAGAGAGAGAGAGAGAGACTCGTGTAGATCTCAATTTTTTTCCGAAAAAAATATGCATGGTGAGTCAGACCACATTGGAAAATGGCGCTAAGCCATGAATTAACATACTGTTTTTTGGATACGAAGACAACCACACACAGCAATACAGGTTTAAATTGCCATAAAGACTACAACAAAATGCTGTGTTACCAGAGGGTTTATAGATTTTATAGCCCCACCCTTTTTTGTTGTCTGTCTGTCTGTCTGTCTGTCTGTCTGTCTGTCTGTCTTTTTCTTTTTGTTGCCCCCCCCCCCTCTCTCAAACTGACTAAATGTTTCATTGCAAGAACAGCAAGGTTCACGAGATACGATCTTCTCCCGCCTAACAATTCACAACATGACACACATAGCAAAGAAGAAACAGTCACGGATTAACCGCAGAAACTGGAGAATGCATGCGTACCACGTAACCGATAAACATATATACACCAACCATCCGTCCCCTAAAAAAGAAGAAATAAAGGCTTTCAGTTCATGGAAGGGACAACGTTAACCATTGCACGACAACACATGAGTGTCGTTCTATTTCAGGGATCATAAGACTAAGTTGGAGAATTTTTTTGACAACCCATTTTGATATTATTTTTTATCTTTTACTGTAAGTGTTTTACGCCCCCAATTGACACAATTTAGCTAATTTAGAAGGCGGACTTCCACCCTACTTCAACCTACTTGTCAGGGCCAACCACGGCTGAGTTTGATAAAGCGTTCCTGAAGAAAGATCGAGATACTCGACAAAACTTGTCTCCCTACAGGATTCGAACCCAGGTCTTCTCTGTACTATGGCACAGCGTCTAACTGCTACACCTTTGATGCCAGTTTGATCTTACCTTAACTGACCAAGAGCAGGGAAAACTGCTATAGAACCATTCAATGAAATACTTTTGTCGTCTTTGTCAACGTAAGTGTATATGTACGAATCACCTTTTTTGCCACTTCATGGATTTGGTTTGATGATTTTGTTTTTAAAAAATTACTTTTAGTAGCGCAAAAAAAGGTCATAATAAGTGTCAAAGATTAGAGGTGTTAAAAGAGAGTTAAAAGCACACAATAAAGAAGGCAAGATGAGGACGATAACTATGTTTGATAGGAAAGAACTAGCAGATCAAACCAGACCTTCCGCCAACCACCCGCTTCGTTGTGTTTGAAGCCAATACTGCAATACGGCCACTCGGTGAAATACTTTTTTTTGTAGTCTAATCATTGTGTGCGCATAATGAGTGAAATTTGCACGATTCATCTTGGTATGTTATGGCTTAAATTTGATGATTTTGTTTTACTGATTTATTAAAGTTTTGATGTTAATATACATGTATTTGTTATCCTATTTATTTGGAGTCACAGAGCCCACCAGGGGGGCTCTCGTGGCCTAGAGGTTAAGGTGTTGGCCTCTCATTCAAAGGTCCCGGGTTCGAATCCGGGTAGCGACCGAAAAATTTTCTTCTCTAAAATTGTCTCCT